AGGTCCGTTGTCGCTCAGATACTGACATTGGTCCATATTTTGATTGTTATCTCTCAGCTTCACCGATTGTTAATGGTCTTGACAGTTGTGCTTACTATTCTTGGAGTTATCCTCATTTTTGTTCATGCTGGTCGCTGGACCAAGGTAGGACTAAATCTTCGTATCCTGTATCTTCTCTATATTGGTTAGCTGCTAGAGAACCCACGCACTTCCCGCAAAGTGAAATTTCCTTTAAAAAATGTTGTTAACTGCCTTAAGCAGTCTAGCCACAGTCCTCTAAACACTGATGTAAATGATATATGTGCATTAGAAAATATTCATATGGAGAATCCGCTATATAAATGCATCATTATCATTGTCTTCCTAATCTGCGTGACGCCTCAGCCAATCACAACCAGTTAACCAGTGACAACGTCAATTTACGTCATATCCCCGGTGCAAAGCGCTAGTCTAGAGTTTTCTAGAGGTGGATTGTTGATTGAACAAGAGGCTAGGCTTGTACTAGGCCTATCGATTGGCTACATAGATAGATAGTTCCCAGCCCTCTTTTTTCTTTTACTCACAGGAAGCTGGCGCTCATCCAATCACTGGTATATTTGTACTGGTGCTCGCTGTTATTCAACCAATTATGGCAGTATTCAGACCCCACCCCGGAGAAGAAAAGTATGTTCGGAGAGTATTTTTTTTTCTTTCTTTTCTCTTATGTATCCTCAGTGTTTATGTTCCTTATTGTTGGTGTTGCTTTTCTTTAGACGCTACATCTTCAACTGGGCCCATCGTGGTGTGGGGCTGTCTGCACTGATCCTGGCTGGTAAGGAGTCTTTTGAATCAAAATAACTTTAGAATGATCACTGGCGCAGCTCTTTAGCTTCTTGAACTGAAAAACTGGTAACTCCTTGTTATATTAACGATACACTGTGACACCAGATTCCCTTGATTAATTAATATAGAAAATGGAAACTAACTCAGTAGATGGGAGAATCGCAAAGCAGATCTCAGGAGTTAAAGAAAGATGATACTGTGCGGGAAACGTTTGCGACTTTCTTTTAAACTTCATACAAAGTCACGCACTTTAGAGATCACTGAACTGTCAAACAGATTAGTGGCTGAAATTATCTCCAATTTACACTGATGGTTTTCAGCAATTTCTTTAGATGCTAACCCCTTATTTTTATTTATATAATACGTCTTAAACTTTTCTTTGTTAAACTTCACAGTGGTGACTGTGTTCTTTGGTCTTCGCCTTCCTCACTCAAGGCTAGGTGACCCCGCCTTGTACCCCATGGTCGCCTATTGTGTGGCTTTGATTCTTGTGGTTGCTTACGACATTTACGATACTTTGACGACGTCGCGTGGCGGAGCATCTTTCAACGTCGGTCCGTCGGGAGGGAAAGAAGGTGATTACTTGTGTAGTAAGGAAGCTAAGTATCAATCAGAACTGCCCGTCAAGATCAGTCAGTGTCTAGATTTTATATACTATTTTAAGGAATTCTTTCAAAGTGAGATTAAAGCGTTCAAAAATGGTCATATTCTTCAGTAAACTTACTATTCTTTTGGCCATTTTCGATTGATTCTAATCTCCCTCGTGTGAGCTAGTTACGTGACTCTTGTTGTATTTTTATGTCTTTTTGAATGACAGATGGTAATGTTGAATTGCAGCCCCCTGGCGTTCCGGTATGAAAATTCGTTTCATTATATCTTGTCTTGTTGTATCTTTTGCTATGCTTAATTCTGGTCCCGAGGAAGTTTAACGAATTTAAACGCTTTCATGCCTTAACCCTTAAACTACATGTGTGCTAAAACAGCATGTCTCCTTACAATTACAAGTGATGTTAACAAAGAAAAATACTTATTTGGGGATTATTTATTGATCCAATATCAAATTCTCCAAACAAACACCGTAAGAATTGTATGACAGACAGTGAGGAGAACTACTAATGAGATTTTGGGAGTGAAAGGTTAAATGAAGCCAGTGCATTATGATCAGCGATATAGGTGACGTAAAATGCGTTCTTTGTGAACTCCTGCTGAAGGAAAAATTCTTAATTTCCTTCTCTTCCAGTCGTCCAAGCTTTGTGTGCAAATAGGGTAATACTCTCTGTGGATGTTTTCTTTCGGTTCTCACCCGTTGCTGCTTTTTTTCCTTTTTGCAGGTTGTAAATAAACGGAAGTTTCTGTTTGCCTTTACGGTTCTTGTTTCAGTTGGTGTTGTGATTGCACTTTTGGTGCTGATTGCAATCGCTGACGGAGAATCTCACAAACATGATCACGACAGCTAAATCAAAAGTCAAGGAGTGAGTTTATAAGGGTGTGCTATTATTTCAACATGCGAAACAATCAATCTCTAAGTTGAAAGCGCGGAGACTCGTAGAAAGAATCTATCTGAATTTTCTTCCTGAAACATTCAACTAAAACTTTTCATTTTCTTCTTGTACAGTCCTTTAAATCTCATCCATCGTTTATCATCTGTATTTCTTTTATTTTGTCTTTTATATGTGATGTTTGTCCAAATCTGCATTCAATTAAATTGAAAAGGAAGTTACCTTTAAGG